TATGCTAACCATAAATAACTACATGTAGTTTCCATCTACCAATTTGCTAGAAACTCCTGGATGACTTATAGCAATTATTGATAGATTACAACCAGATGTAATTCGCTATGGGATACGCAGACAATGAAAGACTTTATGGTCAGACTAAACTTTAACTTTAAAGACCAAGCACTTAAAGCAGCATATATAGTTCTCTTTTGGATACCATCATCATATGAAAGACCTCAGCGTCAAAAATAATCCCAACAGGTTAACAGATATGCACAAAGGCATTCATCATCTGCTGTCCAGAGCACCAATTCTGAAGAATCCAAAAGCAGATAAATTATTCCCAAAGTATAAGCTGATAAGAAAACACTTTATGTATTCCAACGTGCTGCAAGCACATTATCTAGCTCAGAAGGTAGACATGAAACATGAACAGGCTTTGCATAGTGCTCCGCTTGGACAATAGATGGGTGAAAAACTTTAAGAAAGAAAAACAGATGGGTGGAAATAGAGTGGGGGCGAGGTTCTTATAATTTAAGGACCTCAAGCTTTGTGATGGGTTTAATCCATCATCAACTTTAGCTAGACTGCCATTTAGCCGGTAACTAATACTTAGCTAACACCAAGAGTACATGGTAATACCTAGTGTTGCCCATGCTTACCTAGATAGGAAAAAGTGCTATCAGTGACCTAAAGGCACGTCCCTACCTAATGCTATCTGATCACCCAAGTAGTACCCAATGCTTCATGACCACTCAAGTAGTACAGATTGCTATTTTTTTTTTTTATATAGAAAAAGAAATACTAGTAAGAAAAGGAGAAGGAAGAGAAGCACAAAAGAAGGAGGATAAGAAATCCTCATATAAAGAAAAAAGAACAAAGCAAAAAAAGAGAAAATTAACTATTCTCAGGATCTAATAGCTAGCCAATCTATATGTAAAGCAGACAAAGATAAGTTTGAACTGCCCCTGTGCCTCTGACCAAAGGAAGTTAAGAAAGTCAACTTTGTCCGATGGATCATAAATGTTGAACAGTACTCCCTAAAATTCTAGCATTTCTTTCAAGCAAATTACTTTTTTTTTTACAACAAAAGGGAGTAGAATATAAATAAGACAGTAACAGGGTACAACTCATAGACAAAATATCAATAAGATCCCCAAGATTCAGGAAAGAATAGAAAAGATGACTCTTAATTGAAAAAGACCCAGAATTTTAATTACAAATCTTAAACTTGTCAAAAAGTAGTTTCTATGCCTTCAAAAGTTCTATTTTTTTTCCCGTCAAATCACACAGAAGGTAGCCAAGGGGATAAGAGATAGGGCCTTTTTTGTGACGCTTATCACCACAGATGCCTCTCGAAGCACATATCTCGTCCTCTATAGAACCAGCCATCACCCAACACCTCCCCTGAAAAAGATCATATGTCATAGTCCAGAGACGAAAGAAAGGGGACACCAAGGAAGAAGATGATTGCCTGACTCTGCCTCTCTTTTGCAAAAATAACACCAGTTCACTGTAATTTTAATCAGGTTGTCCATGGTAAGTATGCTTTCCCTCATCACTTCCTAGAGCACAAAAAGCCATTCTAGAGGAGGAATTAATCTCCTAAGTTTGTTTTTCTACTGATGTCTTAAGATAGTTTAGAAAGCCATATACAAAAAAAGACATAAAAGCCACTTAAAGTTTGCAAAAAGGATATAAATCGAAAATGCTTCTTTACCTGTCCGCAAAAACTCAGGCGGGGTATATGCTAAGTTTGTACTGTAGCTTTTTCCATCTCGGCTATTTTTCATAAGGCCAAAACTTGATAAACACGGATCACCATCCTGAAACATGGAAAAGCTAGGACAGAATCTCAGAACAAATTCATAACATAAAATAGACAATAGAAAAACAGAAACTCTTTCGAGTGAGAGACGGGCACTCTAGGAGATCAGCTAATGGACTGTCAAAACTGGCAGTCCTGTCCACCAACCATAGCACTCAATATATTCATTTCTCAATGTGAAAAAGAAAATATGAAACAATTATAAAGAATAATTGAACACAACCACAGAGGATCCTAACTTACTAACACAAGGATCAATTGATAATAGAAACTATGTCTCATCAGATAACTAAAGAAAAAATTGAAAAATAAGTCCGAAACAAGCAACCAGTGAATGCAGATATAATTTAGAAGCAAACATTGGACAATTCATGAACAAGCTCCAGAGTTTGCTATTTGAACGTGCATCAACATCCTAATATACCAACTGTTAGGGATTCTAAACATCTAAACAATCATTTCATTTGCCAAAGTATATCAAAGAAGGAAAAAAGAATCTCTTGTTCAGAATTAAGACTTCTAGTTTTAGGTGTTCGGGTTTTTTCAGGTGTTTATGGGTATCTTATATCCCAAGCGTCAGAGTTTACTATCTGAATGTACATCAGCATCCTAATATACCAACTGTTAAGATCCTAAACACCTAAACAATTACTTCATTTGCGAAGGAATACCAAAGAATGAAGAAAGAATCTGTTGTCAGAATTAACACTTCTAGCTTTAGGTCTGTATCTTGGCAGTATGCATGGGAATAAATTCTGTTAAGGATAATGTAGTTGTTTAACTCGACTAAGTCCACGAAAGTCTAGGAAAATAAGAATAGGCAATTGTAGCAGTCACTACATTCTGCCAAGAATTGAAAACTTTTCTTATATTAGGAAGTAGGAACAGCAGTTACCATATTCTGCCACAAACAGGAACTGTTCCTATCGTTGCTTTTTTTTTAAATAAAAAGTATGAAAAGTATTATTATATACATTCCTACTTCTGATCCGTGAATGTTATTCAAGAAAATTGTTAAAGTACTGAGTACTTATTTCCTCATGACAAAGTAAGGTTCTTTCTTAATAGGTCCTGATTCCACTAGAATAGGTAAAGACATGAAAACTCATAAACACTTAAAAATTTATACAGATTCTATGTAACCTCTAACTAGATCTATTGATAGTGGACATATCAACAACTCATATGAAACCATCAACTTCTAGTAATTCTGAATGCTTACCTCATTGAAAAGAACTCTATATGCATTCAGATCATGATAGATCTTCCAGTTTTCTGAATTGCAATGATCAAGGGCCAGTGCAATATTGTATGCGACTCTAACACGCATTTCCCAGGGAAGTGGCTGTTTTTCCCCTATAAGTCAACGAATGTATTAATTAATTGCAAAATTTTCATGGATAAAAGTTAATACACATATATGAAACAAGCAACATAATCAATCACAAGACACAAGAAAAAAAAAGACACAAAATCAGCCTCTAGAGAGAGAAATCCACACGCAAATATCATGATAAATTTGACAGGAAGAGCTGCAGAAAATAGAGAAATAAAGAGGGGATCAAAGAGCCTAATTCCCTCAAAATTGCTACCACAATAGTGATAAAAGTACAGTCTATTATCTTGATAACATGGACAGGCATATGGGGAAACGAAAGGGGGATCAGAGCCCAGTCCTCACAATTGCTATCAAAATAATAATGTACATCATCTCCACCAGCAAGAAACTATTCTTCAATCTGGAAGAAATAGTTGGTCCATTAGATATTAATAGAAGCATCATTTAGACTGTTATGAAAATAAATGGCACAAAAATTTTGAAATTGTTTAAAAAAGTGCCCAAATTTAACTTGCTTACAGTAACATAGATGTAAAGCAGATAAGAAATAGCGAGGTCAGTATCTCAATATAACTTCTTTGATAGTTCTGTCTAAGAAAAATTTATCCCATAGTTTGTCCAAGGTGCAACAAACTCAGATCCTTGGAAAGCTTATGATTCTAACAGCATACATCCGAAATGGTGGCAACAGTACTAAATAAATCTACATAAAATCAAATGATGATTATAGGAAAGCAAAAAAAGAAAAAGAAACGGCAAAGAGAAGAGTGGTACAATGAAAGAGATGCTTCGAAAGAGTATCATTGGACATGTACTCAGCCACCAGAAGTCTCTCTTCTCCTTCAGCACAGCAACCAATCAGATTCACCAATCTCTGGTGCCTCAGCTTTCCAACTCCGGCTGCCTCTGCCTAAGAAACCATCAAATTAGCAGCCATCAAGCTCCGTACTGAATTTCCAAACTATCATAAGCTCAATGAGATTTTCAAGATGACAAAGGGATAATTTCTTTTCCAAGACCAAAAAAGTACCAATGACATTTTCAAAACGGCGGGAAACCAAAATCCAGCAGTTCTCTTTCTCAGCATAAAGTGGGGAAAAAAAACAGATTAAATACAATTGGTACCAGCTAAGACTTGTCCCTTAAACATCGGATAAAAATAATTTCTTTTTTTGAAAAAATAAAAAAAGTACACAAGCTAACGACCTTTTAGAATCATCAAGAGAAACTGAAAAAGCCCAATCCCTGTCAAGTCTCCTAGAAAATAAAGAAGCAAGAAAAAAGAACAAAAAGAAAGAATTATTATATTCTTAGAATTGCATGTGCTGAAATCACTGATCTTCCAATCAAAATCGTCTCTTTCATTTTCTCATAAACCAAACAGAATAGTTGACTTTTCTTGCCCTTACCACAAACTGCTGAGCATCAGGCCAAGATTGCTTAGAGAAGCGTTTGATGGCAACCAAGCGATTATTATCAAGCTTCCCTCTGTAAACGACATTGGGGCCTTTCTCTCCACTCTCTGAGACAATGTACTCTGAGCTAAACCCATTAGTTGCCTTCCTTAGTTCGTTAAGACCAAACTCTTTGAATGCTGGCACTTGGTTCTCTTGATCACCCTCTTCTTCATTTGCTGCCAAAGAGAAGAAACCCACGAATGGTTAACAAAATCCACCAATAAACAAACCCATTTTAAGAGGGAAAAAAACAGGCCAAAACAAATGACATAAATACAGACATACGCGATCCACATTAACCCAAAAAATGCAAAACCCACAAAAGTTAAACAAACTCCAATGAGAAAAGGAAGAGAAACACGCAGAAAAGCAAGCAAAAGTGTATACTACATACTTACATAGGTGCAGATAACAGAGTTTGAAAAGAAAAAAAAAAGAACGAGAGAAAAACCTGATTCAGGTTTATTGACAGGGGGAAGCGAAGAGGGGTCGTCCGGTGAGGAGAGATGGGCAGTTTTGGACTGAAAGCAACCCATGATAAACTCTATCTGCCAGTATCTTACATAGAAAGGAGAAGCAGTTCTGTTTGAGGCTGAGTTCGTAGGGGACACGAGTATATTTACACGGTAGAGGACCCAGCTGCGAAATAAGTGAAAATGTGGCGTTTACGAAAGGATGAGAGAGTGAGAAAGTAAGATTAAGAATGGCGTGGGTATTTGTTGGAGTTGGGGAAGCAGAGGGAACTTAAAAAGACTTTCTTCCAGGGGGAAGAGAGAGAAGACAGAGACACAGTAAATTTGTGAAAAGCGACAGGGAGAGAGAGAAAGGAGGGAGACTCGCTTCACATGATGAGTCTATCATGGGACACGTGCTCCTGTCTTGGAGACTTGAGGGTATTTTAATAAATTCACATTTCTAGGTCTGAGTCTATAAGAATTATTGGATGCTGAAATGGGTCGGGTTGGCATTCGGACCGGATTGGGCTCTGATAAGATATTATATGGATATAATTATTTTTTAAATACTGGTTTCTGTGGCAATTATAAATTCATATTTTTCAATTATAATATGTGTTTAATAAATTATTAATGTAGTTGAAACATATACTATTGGAATTTTTTAATCATATTTTACTGTAATTTTTTATTTTTTATTATAAATATTTTATTCATATATATTTATTTAAATTAATACTAATTTTTTTAAGCTACTCTTACAATATAAAGATTTAGTTTAAATATATTTTTTTCTAACTATTTTTTTTTCTCACGTTGCTCATATATACTCGATCATCATAAAGAGCTTAGTTTCTTACTTTGACATCAATGAAGACGTTGTATTTATACTTTTTGTTTTGAGAATAAGTTACTTAAAATGATACTTTTTTATTTTTTTCATAAAAAATAAAAAATTTCAAATATTATAAGTATTATATAAATTTTTTTTATATAATGCGGCAATAAAAGTTATTTGATATATTGCACATATTTATGAAAATAATTCTTTATTATTTAGAAATTCTTTAGTTGTTGAGAACTTCATAATTTATTAAAATCAAATTGAATTTGCTTTCTTAAAATTTTTTTCAACATGATTTTTGTTTCCTTTTCCCTATATTAGTTGTGGATATTTATAACTATTATTAAACATTTACAAGACTGTTGTTGAATGTGGTAAGACATGTTTTATTTTATATATTTGTTTATAATATCTCAATATTTTTATCAATTTAAAATTTTAAAATAGTATCTATAGTTTTGTTAAAACGATAAATAATTTTTTATTTTATTATATACGTGTTAGACAAATTGAAATTTTACATAATATAACTCATATTATGGAAGAATAAATAATTGCACGAGGTTTCATGGTATTTAGGTTTAAAGATTTGGAGCAAAGATTTAGAGCTTGTTTGATTAGATAATTAATTTATTCCTCATTATCCCAACAAAGTTAATATGATTAGGGTTTAAAATGGTTAGAAAATAGTTGCAAATATTATGATCCTCGAAACCAAATCTATAGGTATAGGAGGGCAAAGGGCCATGGATTGATGTTAGCAAGCTCTTGTCACTTAATAGTTTAAGGAGTTGTATTTTTTAAAAAACTTTTTGTATTTTTCTAAAAGAGAAAAAAAAATACTCAACAAAATTTTAGAGAATGATAAATTTGAATATAAGGAATTTGATTTTAAATAATCACTTAAGAATGACAGAAAACTTAAATGTTTTGCGAGTGGATAATTTTAAAGAATACATTTGAAAATTTCATGTAAAAAAATGAATTTTAAATTTTAAAATTTTCAAAATATTTAATGAAATTTTATATAACTATATATATATTTTTAATTTTTTTTTTAAATTAAGTTAAAATTTTATAAATAACTCCGAAATTAATTTAGATTCTATTCAAATGCAATATTAACAATTTCTATTCTAACTTTTTCTTAATAAAGTTTATACAAATAAATTATTTGATAAAAAAATGTTAATTATAATATAACAAAAACTTCAAGAAAAAACAAATGAAAGTATAATGCAATTTAAATGCGTAGTATATTATAAAAGAAAAAATGTACTAAACATCAAATTAAGTAGTGATTAATAAATTTTAATCTTACAAGTTTATGACTTACTAATCATAGTTAAATTTTCTGTATAGATGTGGCATAAAAGTAAACTTCCCCTAAAGATTCCCCCGAGATTTTCTTAGAAGGGGGAAAAGAAATCCTCACGAGAAAACCACACGCACACACGCCACTCCTTCTCCCTCCTCTCTCGCTTGCTCCCTTCGCTTGTCCCTTTCTGCATCCCACTTTCTCTCTGTTCCTCTCAGGAGGTCTGTTCTGTTATTGCGCCCCGTCTGAACCTGCAACAGCATTAACAACCTGAAAAGAAAAAGTTCTCTTCTGTTTCTCTTTTAAAATGGCGGCGATGGGCCATATCTCAACGGGAATACCAACAGATCGCGTCTTCACCTCGCCAAGGAACCTTAGCGATGTTTCTCTGTTTAGTGCCAAAATCAACAGCGGAAGACGTTGCGGCGTTTTTCAGAAGCGAGCTTTCGCGGTTAGATCCATGAGGATTGCCGAGGATGACCAGGGAGGAAAACTCACTACTCAGAACGGTCCTTTTAATGTGGTAAGTTTTCTTTTCTCAGTTTCTCTTTTAAGAACTTTTATTTTCTATCTTAGTTAGTCTTTCTTCTTTTGATCTCCCTTAAAGATAAGGAAAAAGGAGAAGGTTGGTTAATCGGATAATGGGAATGATCTATATTGTGGTGCGCTTTTCCTTTGTTTGTTAGTTTCTTCTGCTAAAAGAAATTATACCCTGCATTCTGATTGGTCTATCTGAGCTTTTTCAATCGCGGTATCACTATTGAGACCGTTATTTTGTTTGGCTTCTTAGATTTGAAGGAAAGAAAAAAAAAACGATTTAGTTTTCAATTTTATGAAGCCAATCTGGATTATTTCGGTTCATTTTCCAGGTGTCTTACCATCTTTCACTTGATTCTTCTTGTCATTTAGTTGATAGACGAAGATACGGTAACGAATTCATTGATAGTCAACCAGGTGGATTGATGTGGTTCTGTTGTTTCGTAATTATGTGGCGTGGTTAATTGCTAAAGTAACTAGTTCGTCGAACAGGTTATTTGAAACTAGACATCTTTTGAACGTTTTATCTACACTTCAGAGAGTGATTGGTTAGTTCTTTTGTAAGTAATTGCATGCGGTTACATTTGGCTGTTAATTTTGTTCTCCTTGTGAACTTAAAAATTGAGAATTTACATGTAAATTAAACTTAAAATTATTCCAAAGAATTGTTTGATTCCAAAGCATTTAATGACTTTCATAATGGTACTAGAGAATTTTTTTGGAAAATAAAAATAATATTTATTTCACAAGGGGTGTAAATCATATACAAAAGTATTTATAAAAGTTTACAAAAATATCAACAAGGTCTCTGAGATTTAATGAAGATGATCACTCTTAATAAAAAAATATAAGGTCTAAAACCATGTGCCCTTAATCCCTTTCCATGCCTGAATTCATCTCTCATTATTTCCAGTCATCATTCAATTAATATCCAGGACATAGTAATCATGAATTGATGTAGGACAAATTAGAGTTAATTTGACTGTTAAGAAATTGGGGAAAAATTTAGATGTCACACTTGTGGTTATTAGGATCACACTTAAAAGTTGATTGAGTCACACAATCAATTATGAAAAATTCTCAAAATATTATTGGATCCTTGAATGAGGTTACAATCTTATTTAATAGGATGCTAAGTAGAACTTTCTGAACTATATTAGTACATACCAAAACAATTGAGGAACATTTTTTGTAATAAAATAGGAATCTAAAAATTAAAAAAAAAATAATTATAATAAACTGAAAAATGACAAAACGGTAAATTTCTTAAATAATAAATTCCCATTATGGCTATAGGCCATCGATTCTCATCCAGGGTAAGTCAAATCCCACAACTTAAACAGCCACGGAGGTGAGCGTTATGACCATTTGGCTTAATGCATCTATTTCTTGATTCTCTACTTTTACCTATATTTGATTACAAAAGTGTACAATTATAGGAACATTACCCAGCTTGCATGATGGTTATTAAGTTTCCTCTGAAAATTGATATATTTAAAAGTCTTGTGATCAAAATAGAGGACAAACTCGTCTCAGAGTTGGTAATAACACCAATATCGAAGTGTTTTAATGATGACATAAAATTCTTTATCATATGTGGTATACCATTGTTTTGCATCATGAAGCTTCTCACTAAAGTAATTGGATGTCCTTTTGACTAAGTACACCACCAATACCCTTTTAGATGCATCACAAGTCATTTCAAGTACTTTGGAGAAGTCTGGAAGACATAATAGTGATGCTTCTTTTGCTTTCCTCTTGCCAATCTCAAAAGCGATAGACGCTATTTCGGTCCAAGCAAAATTCAATTCTTCATGCAATTCATAATAGGAGTTATTATATTGTTAAAGCCTTCAATAAACCTTCTGTGAAAGATGCCAACACGTGGAAGCTTTATATCTCATGTAAGGTCTTGGAAGTTGGCAATTCTTGAATAACTTTAACCTTTTGTAGATCAATTTTTACTCCTTTGGAAGATACGACAAATTCGAAGAATACAACGTTGTTTATCATGAATGCATTTTTTTTAATGTTGATATAGAGTTTTTCTTGACGGAGTACTCATATAACTTGTTGTCAGTGAAAGATATATTCTTCTTTGGACTCACTGAAGATAAGGATCTTACTAAAGTAGACAATACGAAATCTCCAACTAAAAGCTTGGAATACTTGATTCATGAAACGTGTGAAAGTACTTGGGGCATTAGACAATCCAAATAGCATGACTAACTACTCATATAAGCCAACTTTTGTTGTGAATGCAGTCTTACATTCATCTCATAGTATTATGTGGAGAAGATGATACCAGTCATTCAAATC